TGCTGAAGGAGGACACACCAAATATTAATTAATCATATAAAAGTTGTCGTTAGTATTGTTCTTATAAATAATAAAAATAAAATATACATTAAAATAAAGTTTGTACATACCGTTGAAATATGTTTCCACTATTTTTTTCGTTGGGAACTGTATGTCTTTTTTTATTTATAAATTTAACTTCTCAAATATGTTTCATTTCCTTTATTATTTTGAATTCATATTAATTTTATTTTTCTTAGTATGTTTCTAGATATTTCTAAAATAATTATTTTTATTATTAATATATATTTATTTATTAATTAGATTTTCTTATTAACATTTTAAGTAGAATTAGAAATAGAAATTAAAGGGAAGAAATCAAGGTAAATATAATAATAAAAGAGGTTGATATAACAATAAAAATTAAAGTAGAGGTATTAAATTTTCATTTTTTTTATTAAATTAAACAATTTGGTATTAGTTTTGCATTTCTAAAAATCATAACAGATTTAATTTTTTAAAAAAATCATCTTTATTTATAAGAAAATATCAAATAAACAATCTTATTAAAATAATCTGCCAAAAATAGTGAGTCTTATTCTATCAAAAAATGGTCAATATTGTTGTATTCAGTTCTTTCATCTATGTATTTATAAATAAATTTGTATTGTAAGCAGAAGGTATTAATTAAATAAAATTGAATATTTATTAAGTAAAAAATAAGTATCAAATTAATCAGTGTTGTCTCAACAACAGTATATACACTTTCATTTGATTAAGAAATTAAACTAAGTAAATGCTAAATTCTAATTTATTAACTGCGCAATTACAAAATAATAAAATAACATAAAATCAGAAATTAAAAAAAAAATAATAAATGAAGTTACAATTACGAAATTAAAAAGATAAAACGGCAAAAGCAAAAATATCGTGAAGGTGTTAAAGGAAGGATTTTGAAGGGAATTTATTCAAAGAAATATCATAAGCGCGAGCGTGGATATTGAGCTGTTTAAGGATTTTCAGCTCGTATATATAAAAAAAATTAATTAGGCCAGCCTGGCGTCTTGACAACTTGGCACCTTGACATCCTGGCAACAGTGTCAGCCTGGCAAATGATCTTCAAAGGACTAACTGCAAATATTGAAAGTGATTTTCGTGTGGAATTATAGAGATTTCAGTTGGAATAACTTTCAATTGTAACAATATTCAAGAAAAGTTTCCATATTGAGTCGCAGAAAATTTAAATTGAGGTTTTTTTTATTTAAGAAATAATAATAACAACTGAAAATGTTAATGAATTTGACAGATTCTTTAATATTGTAGAATCATGTCCAACCTTTCTCTTTGAAGAAAGTTTATAATGATAAGATCATCCACCGAAAATAATATAACTTAAAGGTGTTCTTTCATTAAAGTTCCATTTCATCTCTTCAAAATTTTTTCGATTCATGCCAAAGTTTGTTTAATAAATTTAGGAACCATAGTAGCACGTATGAAAAATTTACGACAGAATGTCAGGTCATAACTAACAGTTACAATCATTAGCGATGCGGACAATTATTTTACAATAACAAATTTTATTGCAATCATTCATTACTAATTAAAGTATATTATATATAAATAATTCAATAACTTTATTTAATCGTAAATAAAATACATGGAAACAAGAGACTAAAATAAAAACAAATTATAGATCAGGGGTGGTAAATATTAGCAAATCCTTCGAGACAAAACATGATTTTTCCATCTGGATTTGAAACTAATAACAAATAAAAATAACGATAATTAATCATTGATTATTAATTGGCAGTCTTATTAAACGAGTAATAAAAATACTTTTTTTTTAAAAGAAAAAAAAATGGTCATTTACTTACGTATCATTTTCGTATATAGGTTCACTGAAACGTTTTTAGGTTCAGTTGGAGAACTTTCCAAAAAGATAATAGAAGTCAAGTCGAAATAACCCTTAATTGGACATATGAATTTACTTTGTTCAACAAATTCCTCACAAAAATCTGCTTCTCTTGCAACATTCTCGCCTTGATCGTGATAAAACCTCAGTATTGCACCATTTTCAACAACTTCATTTGCTACACCGGCGATCCTAATAGCAAGATTGTGCCCAGGGATAACAGGATTTGGATTATAGGTGAATGTATCAATTATGATTGGAAAGTTGCCATCGCACATTTTAAATCCGGTAAGAGGGTCTAGACGTTTTCGTAACTCCAATGGAGTTGACCGTACGAAAGATGCCAAGGTCAATAAAATTCCAAGTAAAATAATAATGCGACTCATTTTCAAAATTTTTTGTTTTTTTATGTTACAAAATAAAGTGCAGAGATTAAAAAATTTCTTTTATTTTTGGTTGAAAAGTAGAGCCCGTTTTTATATTTGCAAAATTGTGAATAAAAATATAAATAAAAAAAAAAATAAAAAAAAATAATAATAATTAATAATTTTATTCTATTTTTAATCCATATCTCATTGATTTTTGTTTAATTTCTATTTTCATAATGACAATAAGAATAAACTTGCATCATGCAGTCCAAATCTATGCGAGATGTTTCTCCATATAGTAAATCTATAAAGGTTTATCTTTCTATTGATTATGATTACTTGTATTAAGCGAAACCTTAAAAATCCTTTATGATTAAAAGTTAAATATGAATAAAGAACTACGTTTAAAACGATTTACATAATTTCACGAGATTTTTTTTTTTTTTTTTGAATGTTAATTGCCAAACCATAATTCAAATCTAAATATTACCGGATCAAATTCCTTATTTCTAAAATTTATTTTCTAAAAAGGGTGCCTTAAAGGTATTTACTATTACAGCTAATTTCATAAGTCACGGGACAGCCGATAATAACCGAAACTTTTCCGAGAACATTTATAAGGATTTAAAAAAGCCACCACATTTTTATATGGGTAAAAAAATTATGTCGCTATATTCGGAACACTGATCTGAACGTAGCGATAATGTTTTTACTTCAAAAAATTCTATACCGAGTTTACCGAGTTTTTTTCACTGATCTGCAAAATGATCGTCCGTCCCGTGAATTTTGAAATTAACTGTAAAAGTCATAATGAAATGTATTTATGATGCAGAACATGTGAGGCAGCTTCGCGGCTTGCAGGGCATTCTGGGAAGTATTATCGCGTTAACATTCATGGTAGTAAAGTCTTTTTTTTTTTGATTTTATTATTATTATTATTATTATTTCGTCTCATTCTAACGACTGGCTTCACTAGTGTGATTATTTTTTTAACGACAATAAATGTACAGGTCACAAGCGATCGGGCACATTTTTAATATTTTAGTGTAGTTATTCAAAAAGAATTAAAGTGGATGTGAATATCCGCTTGGCTCTACATAATCCATATATTAATCAACTTTCTCGTGATATAACTTCAAGAATGCACTTTTTTCAACAATTACACACGATTGGATTTGGAATCAAATATTTCATCCGATATCTCCCTTTGCAATTTTCGAAGCCGGGAAGTGAGTCTTCATATTTTCGTAAATCCGATGAATTTGACTTTTGAATGATGTAGAGAACAAGGAATACCATGTAAATATTAATGATTCTCACTTTTTTTCGAAAATTGTTACCTTTGAATCTAAAAATCAAAAGGAGCTTTAATACTTTATTGAAAGAAGCGAAACGGCAAAAACTGGTATAAACAAAGATATGAGATCAAATGACCAATAAAAAAAAAAATCATTTTTTTTTTTCTTATACAACAATGGGTGATTGTATAAATGATTTTGAAAGTGTATAACGTCTCCAAATTACAGTAATAACGCAGATCTTAAAATTTTTTTTTTTTTATGTAAAAATGAAAATAGGAAAAATCTACGGTTATTATTATTTAATTAGATCGAAAGTAGAAGTACCGTTGAGAACAAACAATGGGAATACATGGACCATGTGATTAGGAAAATTAGGGTGTATATTTTTTTTTAAGAAAATGGATTTATTATAACTTTGTGTGCAAGAATTAGAACACAAAAAAAAATTGATTGTTTAATTTCTTTGTTTGGAACAACAATTGGAAATAAAATATTCGTTTATTTCGAAATAAAAAAAAAAAGATTGATGTTGTTACGCGAAAGATTAAAATCTATTTATAGCATATCCAAATATTCAAAATGTACCTTTGTATCAAATTAGTAGGGCGTTGTTTATTTCATATTCTCCCGCCAAATGCCCTATCTCAAATTGTATTTTGTGTAATACGCCTGATTTCATTTTTTGTTTTTCGCCGAATTTGTTGATTATTTGGCCAGACGACAATTGAATTGGGAAATCTCACATTTTCGTCGATGTCTAAGATTTCAGAAAAATAGAACATTGAATTTTTTTTATTAAATTCCCTTTATTTGAAAAATTTTTTTTTTTTGTTGAAATAATGATACGGATTTCACGCATTTTTTATGCAAGTAAAATTTGAATGAACCATTATTTAGATTCAAGTTTGTTAATCACAAAATAGAAATAAAACAAAAACAGCTTTGCAGATTTTGATTGACAAATTGCATAGATTGTTTGTTGTGTTCGGAAACTGCTTGAAAAATTTCATATTGGACAAGGAAAACTAAGACATTGTTAAATTAAAATGAAACTTGGCCAGATAATGGATCCGATACAGTAAAAATCTACAAAATATTAATATTTGACTCAAGATAGATACTCCGACAATATGGTTAAAAAGTTGAAAGCGAGAATTAAAGTTAGTTTACGCCTCGCCTTTCCACGTAGAAATTCCCGCACAAAGAAAAAAAATAAAAATAAATTTTTTTTTAATTTAATAATTTTTAAGCTAATCATTTTTTATTAATACATTCTTCTATCCTAATTGAACCACTCTTTTTACCAATCTTTTATACTTAGAATTTTATATTTTACAAAACAATCAAAAACAATCTTTGCATTAAAACCTATAAATGCAAATACTGTATCTTTGAGATAATGATTATGGAATAAAAATAATGTATCCACTAACCGAGAACTTTCTGTCAAACCGTGTTTTATCGAAATCGAATCATTTTATGTCAAAGTAATTTAGAAAATGTGATATTTGCTTCATTTTGTGATATTATTAATTGTAATCTTGTTTATAAACGTTGTGAGAAAATGAAGAAACATTACATTATCAACAATATGATAAGCAAACCGGATATGTTCGCACAAACGATTTAAAATGAATTTTATGTCGTACAAATTATGGCGTCATCTATATTTATATATTTAAAAAAGTAATTTAAATTAAGTATTTTAAATTAAAATTGATTATTATTCGGAACTTTCGGTATCGGGGCGCAGGCTTCAAATCGGGCAAGTATGATTATTTTTACTATACTGTATTAAACCTCGTCCATTAAGCTGATTTGCTTGCTTAACATTTGGAAATAAATCTAAGAAATTAAAATATTTGGTTAAAATAAAGTTAAGCAACGTGCCACCAGCTTTTAGGTCTGTTTCAAATTGGAAATTAGCTTAGAATATTATATTTAACTAATGACAATTCTTTGTCTATTTACAAACATCTCTTTTTGGGGGATCCAACTAGAATAATATTTTAATGATTATAATAATAAAAATTGTTTCTAACGAAACACGTTTATGCAATAATTTTTGGAACGAAAACTTTATTGGAACCTTCTTTCCATTTTTCACAAATTCGAGAAAATATATTATTTTATCTCAGTATAAATTATGTTCTTAAAATGTCAAGGAATTGTATCATTATTTGATGCTAGAATTTATCCTATTAATGTGCCAAATCATATAAATCAGAATTGTATAAATTTCTCGTATAAAGTACGATTCATTAATTTAAGAATTGGAAAGATTTATAATTCGATATTGACTTTATGATTAAGTATACCTGGAAGCAGGTTCTAAATCAGTAATGATGCGCCTAATGAGGCAATCGTCTTATTCTGTCAAAGAAGTAATAATTTGATCGACTAATCACATAATGAACACTTATTTAATAATGTCAAATCAATTTAGATGAGATGAAAATTTTACATGATTCAATTTCTTTTATAAAGTTACATTATATAATTTCATTTAAAGGTATAAGAATTACACTTATATATAAAGCTCCAAAAGATAACACATGTAATGAATTCTAGTACTTCTATTAATCTTTTTAGAATTTTAATAATGTTGATTCATAGCTACAATTATTAAATTTGTAAATGAAAGCAAGATTTGAATATTTGAACATGATTAATGTTGCAAATAAAACTCCACCTACCACTTTCTGTTAATTATTTTAGAAGAAATCCTCTTCCAATGACTAGTGGCAAAGTGACAAATAGGTCTATCATAAAATTAAATTATATTAATAAAATAATGATGATTAAATTGTTAGCAATTATTGCAGTATTTACGGTTTATACATCATTTGTCATTTAATGACCCGCAGTGTCTCGGTAATAATAGACAGCATTGCACGCTGCAGTACTGGGCCGAATCGCGTTGTCATTAGGGTTAGTGGCCAGGTTCGATTCCTGGGTGACTTTGACGCTATGGTTCCAAGCCAACATCTATGTAAAGAACCGATCCCGTGGTCTCGGTAGTTATCAATAGGGTTGTACCCATTAAATTAGATTAGTAAAAATAGTGACGTCAATCACTATGGCTGAAGTGAGCCCCTCTATCCAATTCTGACAGATAAATCCAATGGGGATCCTGGGTCAAATCCGGGTGACGTAGACTATATACTAGGTGACAGATGGCAGCCCCTGGGTAAGTGTAATTGACGTAATTACGCAGACTCATAATTGGTCCCAAGAGCAAGTTAGTACGAGCTTTGATGGCACCTTCGGAGTTAAGCACTTCAAAAAAAATAAAAAATAAAAAGTCATTTAATGACACTCACGTTAAAAAAAAAAGTAATGTCATTTAATGACCACAAATTTTTCTTTTCTTAAAGTCTTTGTACTTTGTTAAATGCTTCCTGGTATGATATTAGTAGGAGGTAATGTAGGCCTTTAATTTTATACATGCAAACAAATCTATGAAAAGGTATCCCTATTCGTATAATATTGTCCTGTAACATTTTAAAAGCGAAAGGAATATATTGATGTAATTTGGTTAATAATGAATTTTGAAGAAGAAATGATACTCGCTTTTACAGCTACAGCTCATTACATCCATAAACGAAATTTTCGCGCTTTTTTTTTCCTCACATCCATCAATGGAAATTATAATAAATAGCTCCAGTTCATAAAAGATTTTCTCGCAATATTTAAGAAACCAGTTAGATAAACTACAAATTAATATCTTCAATGTTCAACTTTAGAAAAATCAATTTTACTTTTATATGGCAAATATGATTTTTAAGTCAAAATATGTTCAGATTTAGCATTAACTCATTTTTTATTTTTTCCAGCCGTTTCCCCCTTTACTATTGCAAAGGTCCCAAATGATTTGACAAATCCTTTAAATGTTCAAGCGTTTAATAAATGCGTATGATCGATCATGTAGGTAAATGGATTGTCTGTCACAAAACGCTTGCGCATTCATAAACAGTTAACTCGGTCATTCAGAAATCCATAATCGATTATATTTACATATTCTATTTTTATTGCTTTACTAATAAATAATTTTTTCGCATAATCGGTTTAAATGTTTGCTTATGATTCTACTGCGCTTTTATTAAAAAAAAAAAAAAAAAAAAAAAGCGAAATATCATGGCTGCGTCACCCCGCGAAATTTTTAAACTAATATAAGTATTGAATCACCAATCATATTACTTTTTAATAACTTTTTTTTATTTAATCATCTAAACAATTAAATTAATGAAAATCGATACGAACGATACAGTAATGATTTCTAATATACCTTATCAAATTCGCTTTTTTTTCGAGATATTGAAATTTAAATTTTGTTTACGACCTTTTCTTGGATTCTATCAAAAATAACACTAGCTGCATTCTCCCATGTAAGGTCCAACATAATATTGTGAGCAGCACCTCCAATGATATCAAAACCAACACCATAAGCTTCAGCAGTTTCTTTTATAATTTTAAAATCAAATAATTTATCTTCTTCGGCACCAATCACAATTATAGGACATTTAATTTTCGTGGGGTCAACAAAAGGTTTAAGAAGTTCGAACATTACAGTGAAGAAAATAACCCTATCAAGTTTTGGATGAATATCTAAAGCCATTGAATCTGGAAATGCCTTTGAAAGGGAAGCTTTCTTCATTAAATCAGGAGTTCCAATTATTGCATATGGTTTTAATGTAAAGATCGCTTTAAGAATTGGAAGAATTGGTGTATTTGAAAGTGATTTACGAACGTATTTAAAAGCGCTTATTTTATAGCTGTACGGTGAAAATGTAGCAAATAAAACTCCACCCGCTACTTTTTGTTGATTATCGTTAAGATAATCTTGAAGTATTCCACCTCCAAGTGAATGGCTAGCAGTAAAATGAAATAAATCTAACATCAATTTTAAAAAAAAAGTTTATAAAATAATCATGTTAATAATTACCCCACGAGAATAGGTTTATCTCCGGTTCTAGCAATTATTGCATCGGTCACAGCTGATACATCATTTGTAATATCATTTAGTGACCACCATTTATCTTTTTTTGGAGTCTTCGTACTTTGTCCATGTCCTCGAAAACTAAGGTAAAGGATCAATTTGATGAATTTAGGAATCTATCATTCCTTCTTTTTCGTGACAATTTATTTACCTCATAGCGTAACAATCATGTCCTTTATTCGAGAACCACCTACAAAAATTATCCCAAGCCCAAGCTGCAATACTTAGTCCATGAATGAATAAAATTGGTGGATAATTCTAATTATAATAAAAATAATAATTAAAATCGATTATATAAAGTAATATAGAACTAAAACTTATTAGTACTTGCCGATATTATTATGGTGGGTGGATAATGTAAGACTTCAATTTTAACACTTTCACATGAATCAACGAAAAAGACATCTGTATAATATTGTCCTGAAGACATTTTAAAAACGAAATGAATGTTTTTATTGATATAATTTATTTAAACGAAGTAAAATGATTTTCAGAGAATTTTATGTAGTTTTTTTAGATCGACAGTTGTTCATTGACACACCATATTTGGATGATTTACATTACTATAAACAGAAATATTCATCCATTAATGGAAGTTATATTAAAAAAAGGATAAACAAGATGATTCGAGCAAAAATTTCTGAAACGATACTCAATTAATATTAATTTTTATCAATGAATCCCTAGTTTATATATATTTATATAATTTTTTTTTAATTGTTTCCGGTTATTGTTGGTGCGCAGTAAATGCAAAGATTGAAGTTTCTATATGACGTACGTTTTTAGTACAATAACGCTTTATTGTGTCATTTCAAATGGGTTAAAGAGACTTTATTTAAACTTAAAATTAAATTTCTAAATATACTTAAATTTAAGGATTAGATGGTTAGAATAGCTCATAAGCATTATTTTATGCATTTATTTTAATTTTACCTTTAAAAAAAGAGTAACTATATGCAAAATTTTTCAGAATATTCACATAATGCAGATTTTATTTTTATTTTATTTTATTTAGGTGGGATACCACATGTAATATGATCATATTACATGTGGTATCCCACTTAGCCTAGATTATAGTATCGCATATAATCTAAATATCACATATAATCTGGATGTCACATATGATCTAAATATCTCATATAATCTGAATATCACATGTAATCTAAATAACACATAGAATCTGAATACCACATATGATCTAAATGATGTGATCTAATTACCGCATATAATCTAAATGATACAGTCTGAATACCACATATAATCTAATATTTTATTATTCTTATAACACTTTTACATTCTAGCTATGTTTTTAAGTCTTTCTTGATATTTGTGTTTTTTTATACTAATATATTTTTATTATCACAATATAATTTAATTATCACACATATATAATTGAAATACCACACTTTTCTTCTTGTTTCTGAGTCATTTACATGCTAAATTCTATAATGGAGTTGTTGGCCTTCTGTAGCTGTTTGGATATCTGGTTTTATGTTAAGGATGCTAACCTCCTGCATCTGGTTGGATGTTGGATTCTATATTGGAGTGCTTTCCCTTTGCGTCTATTTGGTTGCCTTTAAAAATGCCAAATTGGTGTAAAAAAATATCACGTCAGGTGGCGCAGTAATTTGATATAAATCTGCATCTAAACTTGACTGGTATAATGATATAATTCAGACTGATCTTTAGGATATGTGATTTGGAGGATTTAAGCTGTCACTATACTAATGACTTGGTAGTATCCTGGAGCTGTCACAGGACTGATAGAGAACCTGAGTGTTTCTATTAGTTTGCCAGTTTTAGGCTAGCTTGAATGCTGAGTTATTGTATCTAAAGTTCTAGCTAAAATTGTGAAATAATGCTGGTCAAATTTATACTATACCTTATTGCATCAGTCACGTGATACTGTTATAGTACTGAATGCCCTTTTATAGTTATAAGTTAGTGATGAAAATATTTTCAGAACATTTTTGGAATCCAATATATATGTATTTATGCCACATATTTTTTGCATCCATATATTTCCAAAATCTTCCTAACACTCTTGAGCTCCAGTTTGGTAGATGATTGGTTAGTAAAGAATTGGAAATGCAATATGTATTATCTTAGCTTAAACCCATTTGATTACCAGAAATGCATTATTTTGCAACATTACTATTATCTATTTGTTGCTGGTATATTAGTGGAATGTTGTAAACACTTCTGAGGTCTGATCATAATTTAATCTAAGTTGAGGTGATGAGTATACTATTTTTTTTGAGTGTTACTAATGTTACTAGTTAGTATACGAAATTAGTGACAGAACTAGTAACACGTTCATTATACTTTTTTTTTTTTAATGATGTGGCACTGCCAGTAACTTTATTAAATTTATATAAAGAAATACAAAGTAATTCAAATAAATCTAGACTAAGTACTAGCTATCCTCTGTAGTTATATTACAAACCTGTTTGAATCGACCAATCGTCATCTTCCCCTTCCAACAAATCCACTAAGTATATACTTAATGAAAATTGCTATCAACAAGAGAAGAAAAAGAAAGAATGTGTGTTTATCTAAAAATCTGTAAAAGTATAACCAAATTTATTCGTCAGGTATAACCAATTTTTCCAATTGTATGTAGGAAGTTGATGTCTCTTCATATTTTAAGAATGAACAGGCACTTCATTTAGTCTTGTTTTTGATAGTAATATCTAATGAACATTCTTTTGCTATTATTAGATTGCAACAGTGTTTCCAAACATCCTCAAATAGTTTTTGTTGAAAAACTATTAAGGTTTGAGTGATGATTGAGAAGCATTAATTCTTATTCCTGGTAATTCTGTGGATAATGTCTACTAAAGAAAAAGAAATGAGAGATCGAATAATATTAATATAACCATCTGTTCTAGATGAAGGGTGACAAGAATATTATTTAAAATATTTAGTAATTCTGAAAGAAATTCAGTGAATTTAGAAACATTCAATTCTGTAAGGCAATTGGTTAAGTTATCTTTGGTGGTCTGAATAATATCATATAGTCTTATAGCATAGGCAGAACAAGTTCAGAGATGTGCAGAAATTTCTGTAGCCTGCCCACAACCTATACAACACTAATGTTCATACAGATCAGGCCATAGTATAGATAATCTTGATAGGGTAGGTAGTTCATTAACAAAGTTTTTCATAATGAAGGTCTTGAGTTTACAAAAGGCAAATGAGGTGGTAACTGAAGATGAATTTAAGGAGAATAAAGATCAAATAGCAGGCCAATTGATAGAGTGATTATTAGTAAGATGTCTGATATAACCATTTCTTTTTAAGTCAAGAAAGTTGCAGAATGTCTTAGCAGAAAAGAGTTGTTTGAAGAAACCCCAGATAGATATTTCAACTGATACATTATTGAAGGTAAAAATAAGGTCAGATAAGAGAATATTATTCAATATAGGAGTAAGGAAATAAGTGTTACATCTAGCTTTGGCCAATTGATCAGCAATATCGTTAAAGTGATCACCAGTATGTGCTTTAACTTTGTAAAGATGTATATTAAGATTCAATACATCTACTGTATATTTTATAAGGTATCAGATGGAGTGGTTAGATATCTTTTCAAATTTTCTGAGAGAAAAATCATTATTTAAAACATATTTGGAGAACTTATAAATTGTGACCTGACTGTTTGAAAAGATATTTACAGAAAAAGTGTGGTGATACTAACAGAGCAGTGAAAAGAGCATACATTTCAGCACGTGTTGATGAAGGCCAGTTTATCAACGATACTTTAAATGAGTGATGATTATTAGAGGAATCAATACAAATCCATCTCAGTCCTATTTTGCATAATTCTATTTTAGGAGAGATTAAAGAACTATCAGTATAAAATGTTAAGGATGTATTGTTAGCGAGTGTTGTTTGTAAAGATTTAAGCTCAGTTAATGTTGAGTAAGGGAAGAACATCATGTCAAATAAATTGGATGGTAGGGAACAAGAGGTTATTGTTCAAAATAAAAGGTGAAGTAGGAAAGGTAGGCCACCCTTAAGATTTCATCAGGTGATTGTTATAGTTGATTTTTGAGGGTATAAGATTTCTTATGGACTAAATCAACTTGAAAATCTCTATTTGCAGGAATTGCAAAAGTACAAGCACTAAAACAAACATTGGCAGAGAAAAGATTGTATCTAGTACATTTAAAGAGTTAGCTGATATTATCATTATTTGTGAAATATACAAAATGTTGACAGATGAATTAATTATCAGTCAGGTTTTTGTTGATGATTTGACCAAATGAAAGGGTGTTAGTTGTTAGATTCTATGAAGCAATAAATTCCTTTTTGCGGTCATTCAAATTAGGTAAATTAATTAGAAATCTATATCGAGGTAGAGGAGAAACTAGTTTAAATTCTAGTTTGAGGAGTCGCTGAACATTATTTCTAAAACAATGTCTGCTAATTTTTTGAAAAGAATTTATGATCTAAAGTATTTAAAGTGATGATTAAAGTTTCTAAATAAGAAGTCAGCCTTTGTAATTAGCTGATAACCTAAAGTAGAAATTAGTTGATCTAAATAAAATAAGTTGTGATTATTCAAGATTTTTTTGAAAGAAATGTAAATTTTGTAAGGAAAAAGTTTTGTGATAAAGTGAGTTTCTCCTTTGATTTAGTTAGTGAGAAGAGGAGAAGCAATGAGTAAAAGTTTAAAGGAAGTAAACTTGATAAGTTAAAGGAAAGTGCTAATTAAATTTTTATAAGAAAATCTATCAAATGGGCGGGACTAAAACACATGGGGAGAGGTTTCAAGAAAATGTTAAGATTATAGTTGGAAAAGTTTTATAATAGAGACATTTTTATAAGAGGTAGAGTTAGTGAACTGATATAAAAGGACGGTAGAAAGGGATTTAATTTGTAACGATCAGAGATCATTCAAATTATAAAATTGTTTGAAGCTCAAAAGAATATTTGGAAGGGTAGAAGCGAATTTGTTCTTTTTCTTAAATAGAGAACGAACAGATGCAAAAAGTAAAAGACATTCTTGTTGCGACAAGGGTGTTAGCTGCATATGATATTTTAGTAAAGGGCAAAGCACTATGTTAATAATGTAAGAAATCTGTTTATCAGTTAAAGGTTTATATTGTATCAGAAAAACAGAAGATTGATGTCGAAGGTGAGTTGTTTTTTAATGAATATTGGTGAGCATTTGCTGTTGATCCAGACTTTGAGAAGCGTATAAAACTGGTTTCTAGTTTAATATTGATTGTAGATGAACTGAATTTGAGAGGGATTGTTATGGTATTGGAAGATTTAGTTATTAATAGCTTGGATTTATCCTTATTAAGTGCTGATCTAGTGAGATTGTAGAATTCTTTAGCAACTTCAAGAATAGATTCCAAATATTGTTTTAAACTAGCAATCCAGTTGGTATCATCTATGAAGGTGAGTGAAAAAACGCTAGTA